TCGGATCTCGTCTCCGTGCGCCTCCCCGTGCTCTCTGGCCTCCCGGGAAGTCGCTCTGTGAAAACAGGAACGCAGTCCGCCCCCGGAGGGCGGGGACGGGACTCCGGCGGCCTTTCCGCGCGGCCTGTGTTTCGCCCCGGGCCTGGTGGTGGTCGCGGTGTAGGCCTCGGCGCCATGGATCCTTTTTTGACTCTGCTGCACAGTTTCTCCTCGAGCTTGTCGGACAGTGAGCTTTCTTCCCTGAAGTTTCTCTGCCGGGACAACATTGGGAAGAGGAGGCTTGAGGCTGTCCAAAGTGGCGGGGGGGGCTTTTTCAGCATCCTTCTCGAGCAGCAGCTGATTGCACGCGACAAGGTGTCATTCCTTCACATCTTGCTTGAGAGCATTAAAAGAGAAGATTTGGTCTCGCAGCTAAACCAGTTTGTAGAGGAAGGAGAAGTTTACGCTCCTGATGATCAACCAGATATGCACGAAAAACGTAGGTGGATTATACTTTTAACGGCCGCCGACCCCCCTGACCCCAAGCTACCCCCGTAAATCTGTACGTGATCTCTAGCTGTGGCTGTGCTTAGAGCAAACGCAGAGCACGGCTGCCCTCAGCTGCCTGCTGTAGCCGAGCCCACTGCTGAGGGTGCTTCCACTACTAACTGCTGTATGGGACTGTGTTGTACCCTGGAAACGTACCATGAGGGCAGTATATGCTGCAAACAGCTTTCTGGGGTGGTAGTTTCTTCCCTTTTTTTGTTGAATGTACTCTTGGAAATCGTGCTGTGTACTTGGCATTACGAGTATATACAATGGCTTTTCAGAGCACGGTGTGACTTTCAGTATGTGTGATGCAGCAAAAGTAGTAGCATTTCGCTAAAAAAACAAAAACCAACTTTAAAAAATTTTCTCCTATTTCTTGGTAAATCCATCACTAACTTGATATATTTCTGCTATTTCAGGTCTTCAGAAGGCAGCTATGGAAGTCATATGTGACAATGTCGGGAGAGACTGGAGAATGCTGATACGAAAACTTGGCGTTTCTGAAGTGAAGATTGACAGAATAGTGGTAGCAAATCCATATAACTTGCATGAACAGTTGGCTCAGTCACTTCGAGAGTGGCAGAAATGGAAGGGAAAAGATGCAAAGGTGTCTGACTTAATAAAAGCTCTTCGGGCCTGTAATATGAATTTGGTGGCAGACAAAGTTGAACAGAAGCTCTTGCCACTGAACGCTGGAACTAGGTGAAAGAAGTAAAAGTGCCTTCTACTCTTCTGAACCAAAATAAATAGCATTGGTTCTGTTACTTATTCTGCCATTGATTTACATGCCTTAATAGGTTGATTTGTGGTCAGAGGAAGATTAACATAAAAACAAATTCCTTTCAGGTAAGACTTTGTAGTTTGATGCTTCCTTTAAAAGATTTTCACTTTTAGGGAACCTAATCTCAATTTTGTAGAAATTCTCACACCTTTGTTCTACCACCCACCTGAAGAGAAGACTTGGTTTATTGCAGGTAGTTTTCAGATATATCTTCTCTGGAAATACATCCATGGGATGCTTCTGAGGCAACTGTGATTTAAAATTTCATGGGGAGGTTGGAATTTTTTTTTTTTTAATTTTTTTTGGTGCCCTAGTATAACACCTAGTGTGAAAGGATGAAGGAGTAGACCTTTTAGCTGTGTATCGCGTTTTCTTTTTGAGTAGCATAAGAGAATATCTTCCATAATTTCTTGAATACATTTGCTCTCCATAAAAGGATACTAAGACGACAGTAACCTGGGGCCCCAAGACTGCAGTGCAAGCGGGCTAGTAACTAGTTGTAATGGCTTTTTCTTGGCAGAAAATGTGCCTAGGTTGAAAATGAACTAGTTGAAATCAAACGTCTGTATCAAATGCCTTCATCGTCCTGAAGGAAATGTTCTCCTGAAACTATCAAAGAAATTATGTCTCACAGATGTTTACAGCAGCCTTTTTTTACTAATGTGAATGTTTTAAGATCCTTTATTAGGAATCCTTTCATAACCTATGTCACAGAGTCTGGTCATGTCTGCTGGAAGTTACAGCTCACCTCAGAAGTAAGCTGCAGTTACCTGTGCTCTTGGTAACAAAAGTGTGTACAGTAACAAAAACCTAGAAAACAAATTAATTTGTTTTTAGTGGAGGGGTGTGAAAGCCTACTGAGAGCAAATACATAGTACAGACTTCTCTAGTGATACCCTGTGAAGATGTTATTCACCACAGTTTGTTCTCTTCAAAGGTCGCTCCAGATCCAATAGCTCTTCCAAGTCCTTTTCAATTTTTTAGTTCATTCCTGTTCCTTGACATTTTTTGAAAGTTATTCTAAGCAACTTGTAGAGGAAAAAGGATTTATGAATGAGACCAGATTGAGTTTTCAGCTTTAATTTGGAACAGACTTCAAAAAATGGCCTTCATGCCTAACCTAAGGCTGGAAAAATTGCACAAGCTTTAAGCCATGCAGAGCTGTAGAGGCTTCTCGGGACTATCCCCTATGTGAGTGGGAAAAGTCCTCTGAAATTGTTACACTTGAATGAGTACGATTGTTTGTTACTGCAAACGTCCTTCTAACTACATAAGTAGATACTTGAAGACGAGAGGCTTCTTTTTTGCTACTGTATCTGTGTGACTTTGAGCTCCTTTTCAAGTTTTTTTTACATGGTGCCATTGCTGTGAGGGCCGGGTATCAGCATATAATATGCCACTGCTCTGCATAAATGTTGTGACATTGGTAATTTTCAAGTTTTTGTTGCAGTTGGTGCCTCTAGTTTAGACAATGACACTTGTATACTTGATTGTAGTTAACGGAAACTGCTGTAATGTGAACATACCTTTTCATTAAGGTTTTTCCTTAAATGATTCTCACAAGTATTTTTCTAATCATAGTATATTAAGTATCAGTGATTGTATCCAAGCAAAGGAACAATGGGTAATACAGAAGTTCCCACTTGTCTGCCTTTTGAGCAGGTACGTGGGCAGGTGCTCCACGTACTTGGCTCCAATATTTGTCAGTATTGATTGTCAATTCCAGATTTCCAGTAGGAGATAGAGTGCTGTACTTCAACTAAATGACTAGCTCAAATGTTTTGGAGGATTTGTTTAATAGATATGGTCTTCATTCTACAGTATTTAAAGAAAATTACTACTTCAGACTTCCTTCATGCCTCTAAGCAATCTTTGTGAGCAGAGTGGAGTAGAAATGAAGTTAGCACGATGAGTTATGTTTGCGGTGAAACAGCTCTGCAACAGTTCCAAGTTCAGTCTGTCTGGTAACATGTTTTTCTTATCCACTTGTAGTAAGTCTTCTAGTTCACAAAGATAGATTTATCTGGAATATGAAAAGAAGTATACTGCCTACTGCATATAACCAGGATATTTTAAGAATCAGTAGCAATAACTTTGTAGCCAAGCTCATCAGCTACAAGAAATATTCTGACTCAGAAGATAAACTCTTGGTTCTTTAAGAATTTGTACAGAATGGATGTTTTACTGTGTATGAAAGCAATGACCTAGACTGCATCAATCTGTGCAGTACCTCAGGGCCAATTAAAACTTTTTATTAGAGATTAAAGAGTTGATTATGTGAGAACAAAATCAAATGAAACAAACTGGAACAAAGGGAACAAAAACTTTTTATTGGGAGGAGGGGTAAGGGAAAAGGGTGCAATTTGTAAGAAAATGTGTTGTGATGCAGTTAGCAATCTTTTATTTTCAAATGAAGTATTTTGGACTCAAATACACATTTTTATAACTTGAATTAAAGTTTTATATTGTATGATTTTGTGCACATTTCATTAAAAAATACTTCCTTAAAAACAAAATAAATTGAACTGGTTTTTTATATTACGGGATTGGTATCTATGATGAGATCTCTATTTGGGAGAAGATATTATGTTAAGGACACTTTTACAGCAAGGAGTGGTGCTAAACAGGTGTTACGTTACCAATGTCCTTCTTGGAATGTTTTTTTTTTAAAAAAAAAAAAGGCAAAATCTTTGTCATTGAATTTCTCAGAAGTGCTAAAAAGGCTATGGTTTCCCTAGCAGGAGTAGCATTTGAATGCTGTCACTGAGGAAAGTGTAAGAAAAAAAAATTCTCTGCCAGCCCACAGGAGCCTAAAATTGAGTTGCAGTGCAGTGTATGGGAGACAGGCCTTCTGTAAGTGCCTTACAATTGTTTCCTTATTTTTCCTATGCTAGTCATGCTGTGGTAAGGATGTTGTATTTGTTGTATAATTAATTAAAACCATAGCTTATAGCTTATTCTAACCCTGTTCAGGCTTTTAGAGGATGTGTTCAGAAGTTGAATTGATAGAGGCTTCAGTGTTTTGTGAAGTGTATACTGGCACTGAAGTGTTACTGTGCAATTAAAACTTTGAACGTGTAAGACAGGTAACTTAATTACCCATTTTATCAAATCCTCTATGATACTCTACAAGAGAATCTGCCTGTGAGAAATTATTAAAACCTTTTCTTTATGGTCTCTTGAGAGTCTTGTTTTCTTGCAGCCTCGAGAAAACAACACATCAAAACATGTTGAGAGTAAAAAGTGTCATCTCAGGAGAATTCTCAGTTTTGGAGGATTGTTTTTTCATGTCACTTCAAAGTCCCTTTCAGTACTTGCTTGCCATTCCCTATGGCTTTTGAAGATTTTGATTATATATCACATACTGATTTTTTTTTTTTTAGATTGTAGTATTTTCATTACTGAGTTAAAAGAAGTTTTCTAGACTTTTAATTAAAATGCTCTTATACAAATTGGTTGTCATGAATATTTCAAATGCAATGCTTTGTTTTCCTTTTTCTCCATTCCCCACACACAAGCAGCTGTATTTCCTCCAGCCTTTGTTTCAATCCTAAAATAATTAGCTACTTTCTGAAATCTAATGGCTTCATTTAATTGTCTAACGCAAAAAGCTTATTAACACACACTGTATCTCTGAGCTCTCTCTGGAACTCAGCATGTTCTTAATTCAGGCTTTTTGGTTGAGTATTTTTCAATGTAAATTTATTTCTAATCACTCTGTTTCTTTCACAATTATCAAAAGGTGGTTTCTGCTGCTGTTCTCATTCACTGCATGGATCACCTAGGTCCTTAAAATGTGTTCCAGCATGGAAAATGTTTTTCTAAGTTGATTTATTACTACTTTTCTCTGCCAGTGTTCTTATTGCAAGGATGCACTGGTAGAATTATAGAAGCTAGTTCACTGTTTCAACCATACACCATAAAAATAGGCATTGTGAGGGTGAGATGAGGGGTAGGGGACAGAGCTTTGAGTGAAGGTTCAAGAACTGTAGAAGAATCTATCTTTGTCTTGGCAAAAATTTTTGTAGCTGAGGATTAGTTAACATTAAGAGGGTGTGTTGCAATGGGTTCTGGGGAGACAAGTAAGCACAGCTTTACTCAGCTGCCGGGAAAGTGCAGATTAATGTAGGCTTCTGCGTGGGAATCCGCGTGGAATAAATTTACAGGCACTCTTAGTCACTAAATAGGCATAAGTTTCATCCACAGAACTATTCCTGCTACTGTGTCATTCTTGAAAGCATTACACATTCATTTCTTAAAACAGACTAAAAATAAAATAACACAGGCTTATTCTTGCAAAATATGATACAATACACATTACTACAATATCTGAAGTTGGTAATACTGATTGAATTTAAATTCAGTAATTCCTGTGATTTGATCAGTTTCATAATTTTCCAAATACACCACATGTACAGTTGTTCTTGTGTGGATAGTAACATGGCTTTTCCTTTCAGCTTGGGGTTTAGTTTGTCAAAGAGAAGAGTAATGCTGTGTTTCTGGCAGGTCACAGTACTTAAGACAGTTTTCAAAATAACCAGCTATTTTAGCAAAGTTAAGGTATTTGTATGTACTCTCTAAGACTCTGAAGAGATTGGTATATAAAAAACAACATCTCTAAAAGAGGTTTTGAGGATTACATCTCCAGTACAATGTAGTAAGTACCTTTGCTAAGGAAAGCAGCTTAATGTCAACTTTGTATGTGTAATGCTTTAAAAAGTTATCAAACTGGCATTTTTATTTACTTCATAGTGTTCAAGCGTTCAGACCAGGCTCTTGTGCTGTGTGAAGTTACACAGAGATAAAATTGGACCATTGTCATCAGAGATGTAAAAACCATACAACTGGGATTTTCTGTGGTAGGCGTTTTATTTACAGGTGAGCCTGGTTTTATGAAACTTTTACGTAAAGCAATAATCTTGCAA